AATTAAAAATATTAATTGAAAAAAAAAAGTGTTTTTTTTTGTCCCTGACTGTATATATAGAAGTTGTATTCTGTTTAATATTTTTGTTTCTAAATTTGATAGCTTAAATCAATAAATTCTTTGAAGTATTTACTAAAAAATTTTGAAGTTTTATTCTATTTAATTATAGAATTTTTAAATTTGATAATTAGTATTAATTAAAGATTACAATTTTGAAGCTTGCAACAATATTATTGACAAAGTAAGTAATACAAACAAGTCAATAAAAGAAGTAATACTATAGGAATATAATGATTCAAATTATGTTTTTTTAGAATATCTGAAACTTGAAATATTATAAGTTAATAATTTTTTATTATATCTAAGACATATAATATACAGCATAATATCCAATTCCAAAAAATATTTAATATTATAATAGTATAAGTTTACAAATACCAATAGTTCATTTTTGATTTACTTTTAGTTTTTTTAATTAATAATATAAAATTGTAAAGATATTAAAATAATTAAAATAAAACATTAGTTATTATTTTATTATTTTATTTTTTATTATATGTATATAATCTTTAAAGAATCAATAAAATTATATATATTATTTTAGACTTGTATTTTTACTTTATTTATTTATATTAGAAAAATATCTATATAAAGAAGTACTTTTTTCTTTGGAAATAACAGAGTTATTTAATTTTTTTTATATTTAATAAAGTTTAAAGATTCTAATAATTTGATTTGATTCAATTTTTAATTCTCAGGTTTATATTAAATTTAATATATGAATTATAATTTATTATTATTTTTAATAGTATTTAGAATCTCATGTAAATTTATATAAGTTTATTTAATTTCAATTTTTAGGATCATAATAAAGTTTTCTTTATTAATTATAAATAATATCTTGTTTATAATTTTTTTAATATAAAATATTATAAAGCTTTATTAAAAAATATATATTTATACTTAATTTTTTTTGAATTTTTTTTTTTTGTTTTTTTTTTATAGTAAAATGACATTAGATGTGAGTTTTTATTGAATAATTTCAATTTTTGATATATCAAATATCCTTTATTACATTGTAACAGCTAAATGCTAACCTATCTATTTCATACCTGGTGACATGATATTCACCTTTAAAATGCATTATATTGTTTTCAGGGAAACCATTTAGAGGGTGAAAATCTTATCACTAGTTTTAAACCACCATATCTACCATATACCATTGTATATAATACCCAGGGGAGGTATTTTACTTGGAGAGAGGTAGTATTAGTGGCAGAATATATCATTATTATAAAATTCAAAATAATATTGTCTTACTTATTATTATATTAATATACCTAGGTAGTAATCAATTATTAAACAACAATTTTTTTGAATACTATCTGGTATTATTAGTGGGGGGTAGTATTTGAAAGGGAATATTGTATATAGTGATATACAGTACTAGTCCAACTATATGTGAAAACAATGAACCTGCTAACTATTTTAAGTAAGTTACTCTCATATCACACCTTTTTGCTCATATAGCTATAGTTTCAGAAAATGTCTTTTTTGGACTTGCCTTAGGATCACCATGAGGATGATTATACATTAGTATCGATACAGTGCTCTTCTTCAAGGTTTCTTACTTTCAATCACTGGCAAGAAAGGATCTATGACTTGGATTGATTCAGATAAAGTACAGTTCAGTCTGTACTTTCAAATGTGTGGATGGGTTTTGGCTATACTGACGATTATTATGCCACTGTTCTGATGATTATTGTATTACTAAACCTTATTTGGAAGGTCATAATCTCAATACTTGCTGAATTAGTATATGAAACGGTTTTGTATGAGAAACAGTACTTAACAGGTTATAGTATCAGATACTTTAAGTATTATTTAACTATTTTCATCTGGGGTTGAACCGGTATCTTGTAATCTGACCTGTGGAGTACTAACTATTGTATTATAAATTCACAGGTCTTTTTTTTGAATTTATAATTATATAAATTAAAGTTTATAATATAAAAAGTTATTTATTAATATTAATATATATTAAATCAATTTTTTTTTATTAATATTTTCAAGTAAAAATTTTAATTACTTGATATTATCTTTAATATATAATGGTTTTAATATTTATTTTTCATATTATTTAAATAATTTTATATAAACAAATTAATATTAGACTTATTAATTTGTTAAGTTATATAAGAAGTATTATTATTTTCTTTAAATAATTTTATTATTAATAAAGTAATAATATTTTTTTATATTAAAAAATTTTTTTAATCTTTTATATATTAATTAAAATAATTAAGTTTTTTTTATTTTAATTTTCTAATTAATTTTATTTAAATAATTATTTTATAATTATTTAGATTTTAAAATTTGATCAAATTTAAATAAAAATTGTAATCTCTAGTTATATATATATATAGCTTTACAATTTATAGTTATTAATATATTTTGAATATATTATGGTAATCAATTATACATATTAATTTAATATTGATTATTTAAAAATATTAGATATCTTCTTCAGATAAATAATAATAAAAAAAACTTTTTATTAAATTAATATAGAATCTTTAATAATTCTATTATGCAAAAAGATATTAGCTATTATAAAAAAAAATTATTAAATTAATTTGTTTAAAATTAAATATTTTTTATATTTTATAACTTTTGGTAATCATTATATTATAATTAGGATAATTGTTATATTACTACTCTTTATAAAATAATTATAATCTCAATATCATATTAGATTAATATATAAAACAACTTTTTATAATAAATATTATTTAACAGATTATATTATATTAATTTTATTTAATTATTTTTACTTGAAATTGAACCGGTATCTTATAATCTGGATTTAAAAGTATCAATTACTATACTATTGATTCACAGATTTTTAAATTAAATTAATATTATATAAACCATTTTCAATTATTTTGTTTATTTGAAAAATATATGCAAACTTGAATTTTATAGATAATAAAATTAGTGATTAAAAAATATAACTTTTTAAATATGTAAATTTTTATAATCAAGTATATGTTATTATTCATTTATTATTACAAACAATTTTTTTTTAGTTTTTTTTTAATATTTTTTTTATTCAAATAATTTTATCAATATTTCGAATTGTTAAAATTTTATTTTTATAAGTTATTTTATAATTTTTGTAGTTTTTGAATATTTAATTTTAAAAACTATAATAATATTATTTTATTTAAGAAAAAAACTTGGATAGTATTTGTAATTTAAATAGATAAATATATTTTTATAATTAATAGCATATTAAAAATGAAAATTTAATTGAGAATATTAGTTATATAAGGTTTTGCTTCATTAAATTCTAATTTTTTTTATTAAAAATTAAAATAATATAACTACAGTATATGGATAATTTTGTTCAAAAGTAAAAAGGTAACATTACTATTATTTATCTTACTTAAGAAAAACTGTCAATTTATTTTTTTAAAAAAATTAATATAAAACAATTATATTATAAATAGTAAAAAAAGCAGGAGTTAATAGTTGAACAATGACCGTTCAGTGATTTTTTTTTTGATGTAATCAATCATTGAACAACGGTTTCAAAGGTTCTTTAAAACGTAAAGCTTTAATGAATTATTCCAATTAATTCTGCCTTTATACAACCAAATTGAATAAATCATAATTCTTAAAGCATAAAGATGTTATCAGGGATCTTAAATACCTGTCATAGTCATCATCATCATTAAATTAAATGGTGGTTTTATATAATTGTAATAATTTATGGGATTTTCAATTTTGGATCAGGTTATTGTACTTTTTATTTTCATCATTTTGCTCTATCCTATAGCCGTGAAAAGAATATATCATCCCTATTGCTCGTTATTAGGCACCCATAATTTCATCTCGGAAGGTAATTCTTCCTCTGCGTAAACCCTGTCGGCGAAATAAACTCTCCTCAACCTGCAATTTGCATGTATTTGTACCCTCAAAGTTTCGACGTAATTTGTGCTGTAGGCACGGCGTGTAAAGTCAGCGAGGTTAATTTGAATTTGATTCCACCCTTCATCCAGTCTCATTGGCATGGTACATATATAAGGTTTGACGCGCGTAACGAACTAAAAATTTGGAAAGAAATTTTCATAATTTTCAATAATTTTTCGGTCAACTCATTTTGCTTTTTTAAACGCATTCATTCTCACCTGAAAATTTGATGCACGGAATCTCCTTATCACATTTTTGTCATCCATAATTTGGACTTCTAATGTGAAATATTTTTTCAAGTTTTTTACTATGAGGACAAGGATGGGAAGTTTGATTCCAAGGACACGGTTAAGTTGCGCAGGACAAGTTATATAGGTATCAGCGATACTTGGAGATATTATTTCTATGACCATGGAATGTATATCATCATCGGTCACACGCGAGATATGGCTTTCTTCATGTTTAGTATCTGTCTCTCTGTGCCAGATTTGAAGTGGCTTGTTACTATGGATTAAGTAAAAGTACGTGAAATTGGTATACGTACGCATACAATGCAAACAAATTTATCATCGATTGAATTAATTTGTGTGAGCGTTATCCTGAGTATTATGCAATATACCACCAATTTTGATTTTTATTAGTACTCGAGAAATTATAACCATTCTCTTCTAGGTCCGTGTTGTAAAATCCTATAGAATGCTACTTTAATACTTAAGCCAAAGCGATTTTTTTTGTTATAAATGCACGTCAAAAAAATGGAAAACATATATATAAAACATATATATATTAGCCTTTCCTTCGGTCAAATAAATATTTTGGAGTCTTACCCGATGCTATAAAGAATTGAAAGAAATCCCGACTTTAAAGTACAAAAAAAAACAAAAAAAGTTACTATGCTTGCGAACGAAAAGAATTCTGAAGCAAGCAAGATGAAACTATACCTGAAAAGTGTTTCGAAACATTTGTGCTATATATTTTGTATCAAATAGATAGCATCAAAGCATTCAGAAACATACGTACGTACCCTCCTTTCAAAGTTAATGCTGATTTTTAAGTACCCCTGTTCATGAACAAAACAGGGGTGTAAATCAGGCGGCAAAGATACCGTTTTTTCCAACTTTTTCAAAGTCAATGGCTGATTCAAGAGTTCTAAACATAAACTTTCAAGAAGAATCTCTTCTCGTTGTTCCCGAACCAAAAAAGAATAAATTGCGCTTCTTGCGCCTTTTATCGTTCGTGTTATCTCAAAAGGGCTATTCAAATGTTGAAAAATTATCAAGAAAAGTTGGTTTGGAACCGCCAACCAACGAAGAATTTCATTTTGCCTCCAAGTAGTTTTCAGTATTTTGATCTTTTTCTTTTTCTTTTTTAGTTATAATAAAAAAATTTGAATTTCTAGTTCCAAACCACATAATCACAAGACTGCCTTTAGTGCCATGTGGTGCCTTCATAATGATTGCTTGCCTAAGACTTCGCGTACAGGAATCAAGGATTTTCTTTTAGTCTATGCTGCGTCAACATTTATTGAAATTTTGATGCAGTTTCCAGTACGGAGGAGGAAAAGGTTATCTAGAACAAACGTTCTCATTGAAGTCTAGAGTTGATGACACATCATGGGCTAACAAATTTCAATAATTCGATCCGATATCCGAACCGTTATTAGCTTCACGCAAGTCACAAATTATTTGCCTAGTGCATCCTCGACTCGCCTCGCATTTTCAGTTTCATCTTTTTTTGTGACATACAAAATATTACTGCGTTTTTTTACACGAGTATTTGATCCGCTATTTAGCCCCAGCAACAAGACGAATGTCAATGACATAATTGGCTCACCTTTTGTACCTCCATTTCTGGCCGGTCTACTGGCGGGACCAACATTACTCATTGACAATAATCAATCGAGACGTATATCAATTTCAATGTATATGTTGAGTAAGAGTTTGCAATTCGTCTATCATGCTCTAAGGAAAAATGGGATTATTCCTGTAATGCCTTGGTGGTGGGGTTCCTGGTTAATATTTCCGATTAGTTCTTCTCAACTGATCTATGCTTACATGGTTCACCCGGACGCTTTCCCTGTAAGCCTTGACTGGTCTCTCTCTCATTGATTAATGCACTTGTCTTTTTCTTATCTCTGATATCTACTGATGTTGTTATTGTATTATAGGATGCTTATGGAAGATTTATCACAAGTCGAAGTTCTACGTACGTTCAAAAACGTCCGAAGTATTTCCTGGATTCGATGCCGTGGCCAACGGGTCAAGAAATAGTCGAACGAATTACGACCATAGCATCACTTCATTATCCCGGGTTTTACTCGCCAAAACTTCATGGTAGAGACATATCCACCCTCCCCGATGCACTTAAACCTATAAGGCCGGTCCTCGAAATTGCGCATCCAGCGCACAACAAAATGATGTGTGCCTTGTTGCACCCAAATGATCCCAGTTGTCTTGCAACATATTTTAAATTTATAGCAAAAGAAGGTGTTGCCGCACTTAAATTCATGGTAGCTTTGCAAGCACTCTCACTGATTTTTAAATGGAAGACTCTGGTTTCCAGGTAATTTTTTTTACTTTCGTGTTCTTCCAGTGAAAATTTGCTCATTCACATAAAATGATTGTGTTCATGAAAGGCCTAACGAAGTGTTAACCCAATTTTTGAACGGGGGCACTCAAACGATCTTCAAAGGTGCTACTTTTATCACCATGGCAATTGCTACTTCGTGGGCGATGATATGTGGATTTCAAAATGTCCTTCCAAATAAATTCATGCCTATATCAAGGTATTCTTTGACAAAGATAAAAATTTTTTAAAGCTATTAGCACAATTTAAACTAACCATATCAAAATCTTATACTGGGAATGTTAATAAGGATTTGTATAAATGGATTCATCGGTGGGCTTTGGATCCTGATAGAGAGTCCAAGTCGACGACTGGACATTGGGATGTACAGTTTAAGATTATCTATCGAATCATTCTGGAAAATATTGGTGAAAAAAGGAATAACCAGGAACATCAGGCACGTAATACTACTTCTTTAAATTTGGGTATTAAGAGTGTGTGGTATGATCTAATATATAATTTGATTTATTAAAAAAAGGAATGGAGAAGTTCTCTATTTTTCATTCGTCATGGCTTGCATAATGTCCATTCACAAGGTACAGCCAAAGAGCATATATCCACCATATTTTAGGTACATCCTCAATAAATTACTTGGTGATCTATGATAAGTTAAAGTTGCGACGGCGTGGCATTGATGGCTTCGTTGATTCACTATCTTGAGATTGATTCCAAGAACAAGATCCAATAAAATCTTGTTATTGTTACAACGAATATCCCAATGAAAAAAAAAACTTAATTAATTTATTTCATTTGAATTAACATTATCCAATACTAAGGAATTGAATAACAAAAAAAAAAAAAATTCTACATAATTGAATATATTTACAACAAGAGTATGGTATCCCTAGCAGGTTTAAAGCTAGAGAATCGCGCACAAACCAATATTTGGTCACATCATATGATACGAGCGTCTGATAATCCGAAAATGAATAATTATAAAGGATCGAGTGCCTGCACAAAGATAGGGCCTAATTGCAATTCATGAACTTGTAGCGGTCTGATTAACTGGCTTATTAAATTAAACAGTCCTCGCGCACGTTAACAAATGCGCTTGAACCTACACTATTTCTTGATAATTCACGAATTACTACTGATGCCTGACAATATGCTTTCTCCAATGGAGGTATCGCAGGTTTTCCTTGCGACACTGAATTAAAGAAAAAATTATTTATCAGTACTGCTTATTTCAAGATCAAAACAAGTTTGTTATGCATACCCAGAATTGCACTATTTAATGCGTTCGCGACAGGTTCGCGTCCAGAAGGATCTAATAGGTGTGCTACACAACTGACGCGCGGATCAGTGTACGCCAATAATGAAGCCGCATCCTGTATGCAATAGCAACGATGATTAAAAGAATATTCCCACAGTTCACTAAGTAAAAATTCTAGGAATGTCATCGAACCTCCAATGCATTTTTTATTTCTTCGCGTTCGTCTTTACCATAGTCATCTCGCAATTTATAGCCAAATCGTATTGCTTCCGCCATCGTTCCTTCTAGTCCATCTAACTCATCAAAGACCTCCTTCCGTCGCTTGGTTGCTTTTTTCTCTTTGACAGACGTTAGCGGAACATCTATATCGTCAATAGAATCATTGTCGCTCGGATCCACATCCATGGCATCTTCGAACTCTTCATCTTCCTCCTCCTCTTTCAGTTCTTCCTCGAGGCTCCCACTATCATCATCTATCATGGTTTGACCCTTCTCAACTTTTACCGCATCGTCCTCAGGATCTGATAATGTTATCTCAGTTCCAGCACATGCACCTAACATCTCTATTAATTTACGACATCGAAGTTGGAAGAGAATATAATCATTGGCAGGCAAAACAGATGGATAAAAGGTATCTGTCAATTTGATAGCATGATCAATGTCCCCCTCGAGTACTGCATCTCGAATTCCTAAGATACAAATTGATAAGTATTGAAAGTTCACAAAGTTGGCACGTTGAATTCTGAAAGCCTCACTGGGAGCATACTTTGTCGATTCTTCATATCTTTGTCTGTATCCAATGATGGATTCTCACTTTCGACCCCCTCCATTTCACTGTTATCTGTTTGAGAGATCTGTACAGAATCTCTTGAAAATGCCTTTGCAGTTTCGCTATAACCATGGTGGACTAGATAAGACAAAACTAGACGATGAACAGTCGCAGTGAGATTTGCATCTGATGCAGCTTGTGAAATAGGTGTAGTGGTCAGAGGGGATGATATTGGGGGCATTAGCGTGCCATTAATTTCGTGCCATAACCTCGCCTTTTCTTCCTAAATACGCAAAGTCACTATCAATACAAATCGTAATAATCATATAACGCGGCCTGTCAATAATAATTGTCCAACCTTCATATAATGCTCGATTGCAAATTTAAATTTCTTTTGCCCAAAATTAACTTCGATAGACTCGCCTTGCGTTCTTAGTCCAATGGAGGGATAAAAAACCCCTTTCAAATCTCTGAATGCAATACCTTAATTAAGAGATTCCTGCGTCAATCAAACATTCATTTTTTAGTTAAATGAGCCAAAACAATAATTACCTAGGTGCTTGCCATTCTTGGTGTAAAATGCAGTGCCATCCCTGAAATTCAAGCAGCAACCTATATAATCTCCTGTCGTGAATACCGGTCCGTATGGTTTACCGGTTCCCGAACAACAAAATGAATGTCCGTCATCTCCGTGATAACCCCATGAATCATTTTCCCAGCCTAAAAGTTTTATGATAAATCAAATTAATCGCTGATCACATGCTCGCGATAAAAAGTTTGTCACGAAAAATAATAAAATACCGGGCAATCTATCTAACTTTACCGATTTCGTGCAGAAACCAATTCCAATATATCTAAAGAGAGAATTCAAGGCAAACATGAAAGACGAGCATCCACACGAACACAAAAGAGTGATACAAACTCACCCGTCTTTTCCTTTACTTATGACGTGAACTTCAAAATAAAATAATCCACATTGTGAAGGTATTGGATGATTGGCGCGGATCGCGGCTGCATCTACATCACTTTTCCCAGAACCTTTATTATTCAAGATAATTTTTTTGAGCTTAAGTGAATTAATTTTTGAGAATGAATATTATAAGGAAAATTATAACACAAGTATTTTAGAATTTCCTCGTCACAATATCGAGAGACAGCCATTTGATGCTGGAAATCAAGTGACTCGAAGTCCATAAAATAACACTCTTTCTTTCTTTCCAATGAAGCGAAAGGTTGTTATAAAACAACATGATCCTATCGAGACTTTTTCAACATTATGTTGAGAACAACTTACCTATGTAATTTACTTTAAGTTTTTCGGAATCCACGTTCAAGAGTTCACATCTATCTTCGACGTTCCATTCTGTCGGCAAAGCCACACTCTCGAGCGGATCTCTATCTCCAGCATTATCATCGTGTGCTTTATAAAACATCTCCGCAAAACTTGTATCAGCTAGATAGTCTGGAAGTTTGGGTTTCGGAGATGTCGACTTTGAATGTGTATTTGATGTGGACATATTCAATGGTGAAGTAGAAGATAATGCGAGAGGGTGGCTGTAATATGTAGTTCGTGTCGAAGGGTATATCGTCGAAACCACACTGATGGGATAACGCGAGAATGATGAACCAAATTGGGCTGCCAACTGGGCTGAGTATTGTGAAGCAGGAGGGGGATTAGACAAGTTCGTTGGCGGTGGGGGATAAGGTGAGGAAGAAGAACTCGACATTATTGCTAAGTGTGCTGCAGCTGCACTATTCAGGGGAATGACTCTCCGAGAGGAGGCAGAATTGGAAGAAGTATTTGTCATTAACGGAAACTAGAACGTAACAAACTTTGTGAATGCGACGAATCTAGTCAATGTCCAGAAAATAATATAAAGATTTAAGTGAAGGTTTCGTTTTACGGTTATATGTCACGTAACGTCTACATACTTGTTTAGGATACATTTCAATAATCACGTGGTATTTGTAGTAAAAAAAGGTTTTTTTTTTCGTTGGTCCTGTTAACTTCATCCCACTAGACCAAGATTTGCAAACGAAAGAATGCATTTGATGTACTACACTGACGACCAAGGGAACCGTATATACACACTGAAGGTATTATTAGAACAATGACTTTTTATTTCCTACTATTTTTAATATTCCGTTCTTTTTCTTTTTATTTATTTTAGAAAGTTAGTCCTAATGGAGAAGTTACTAAATCAGCGCATCCGGCCAGATTCTCGCCGGACGACAAGTTCTCCCGTGAACGTGTCACTTTAAAAAAACGATACAAGATTTTGCTAACACAATTGCCAAGTAAACCAATGTAAAGAAAATTTTACGTGAGTCGCTAAACGTGTTAGGTGATTATTTTTTTTCTAGGTCGGATACGTTTCTTTTATTCGTGATTAAAAAATTCTTTCTCGTTTATGAATATTCTAGAATCCTTCTGACAACTAATTAAAATTACATACGAATGAAATATACATGTGAATTGACTAGTAATAATAATTTACAACCATCTATAAAACTAAACCCTGAAACAACAACATGAATCATCTAAATAGGCAGAAAATTTCTTAAACAGTTGAACTAAACAACCACCGCCTTTCCCTATAACTTCAACCTTTTTACCGAAATACATTTCCGCAAATTCTTCAACGAAAACACCATCTTCATGTGGATCTAAACCAAGCTGAATCAGGTGATCAGGGTAGAGAAGAATTATTTCCTCAGAATCGTATGCAATAGAGGATTCAATTATAGTTCGCAATTCGTTGAATAGATTTGTCGTCAGGGCCTGGAAAAATCTGCAAATAATAAGATGTTTAAGAAAGTAATTCCTACCTTGCAGGATAAAAAAAAAAAAAAAACTTAAATAAGTGCCTTATCAGTTTCACCTCGATTTCCGAGGTATCTTTAGTTCCGTCGATATTTAACAGATTCAATCCATCCTGTACGGACTCTGGTTGATTGTTTAATAAAATTTCATCTGCCGCTTCCCTATCATCTAACCTCTGGTATCCATCCCTTCCATACCACCAGAACCAGCCACCAAACATCATTTTACGCCCTGTGTCAGTCATGTTCCCACCATCTTCCTCAACATTATAATTATTTAAACCATGAGACGCCAAGATCTTTAATAAAACCCTGTATCGTCTAATGTCGGTTGCGTTTATGTTCGTGGTTAAGGATGATCCGGGTGACGCGATTAAAATTGGTTGTACATTACCAGTTTCATTATGTGGCAGATTAACTAAAAGGTCATAGAGATTGTTTTTATGTTGTAATATTCGATCCGTTGTGCCTAAAAAGAATATTTGTTAAATATAAAAAGACAATGAAATGTATTTTCTTAGAAACGATACAAGACAACTTACACGCAACATATCCACCTTCTATGGATTCGACCAATGGGATTTCACTTACGCCGACATTAAACAATGGTTTAATCTTTTCGACCTTATTCGTCAACATTCGAGTGATCGATGTTGGAATATTAGCAAGTAGACACGTATCATAAACTATCAATCAGAATAATAAATAAAAGAAAGTGATTGTGCTTGCATACTTAAACAACAAGGATATATGCCAAAATTTACCAGAATAGCAAGCATCCATGATAGGTGGAGGAGAGTAAAATAGGATTCGCTTTTTAAGTAGCGCCGCCCTCCAAAGCATGAAGATGGTTGGTCCACACAGGCGAACGAATTTTGGGAAGTGTTGAGCAGGATGAGCGGACTTTACAACATGCGGTGTTTTATTTTATACATTAAAAGCAGTTCGCGTCTGAAATAACTCTAAAATGTTCATTATTACTATTGCAACTTACTGGGACAGACACCTGATAACTGGAAGTACTCGATACAGATAAACATCTTGTTCGCAAAAATTGGGACCAATTGCTAGAGGAAGTTCGTTGAAGCTTGGGAGGCCCGCCGCCTGACGGAATTACGTTGTCACCGGAAGGTATGGAATATTTATCAAAGTATTGTTTGAGACTGGAATAATCGTTCGAGAGATGCACATGGTTTCTGAAATAGAAAGGTTATATAAATCGCTCAGACTATGACATTCATTCATCTCGTACCATCAGATGCATACCTAACTTCATCTTGCAAAAGCTCGATGTGTCTCCATGGGCTCCCGCAAAGTCCGGTTCCCACAGTAGGCGACACTAGGATTCCAACCGCAGCCATATGTGCACCGCGGTCTTGAGATTGGTCCATTGTAGGTTCATTCATAAATACACTTAATCCGATAAAGGGGGGTCTATAGAAATATCTGTGATCACGCATATTTCGTGTCAAAACAACGAATCAAAGGCAAACATCGATATAGTTTCAAATTTTTATACATTATATCCTCGCTCACTAAATGCAGTCCGCTCGGTATTGACTGGAATTCTATTCCACCAAGATCTAAATCTGTTGAAGAAAGTTTCAGTTAAAGTTCAATATAACACTAGCATTAGAAGAACGTGTCTTGCCTTTTGGATATTGCCACTCAATTATATTCCCTTTCTTGGTGTCAAACCGTGTGACAAATATGGCTACAATATTGGAGAAGTCATCATCAAGGGGCTCTGAAATATTTGTGTTTTCTGTGGATAACTCGGGAATATCATTCTGCATTTCTCCAGCACGCCTAGACAATTGAACTATCTGTTTTTAACACGTTTTTTTTTCTTTGGCGAAATATAAAATTATTGAATTAAAATTTAAAATGCATACGAGTTTGCGCTCATATATGCTTGTACGTCTTCAATTTGAGGTTGCTGACTATTTATGAATAATGCTAAAACTCAGTTTAATTTCGAAAAGCATTAATATTAATAGAAAAAGTTACCTGCGCGAAGTTTTTAGAGTATTATTTTTATCATTTTCCCCGAAATCTGAAATCCCTGCCGATGGTTCGTTTTGAAAATATGATGTTTCGTTGGCAGCTACATGATAATCAAGTGTTGACATTTTAAGGTTCTAAATAAAATTTCACAAAAAAATTTAGATTTTTATACTAATACAAAACATTCGTGATACAATACAATGCCATGAGGAGATGAAAAGGCTTTGGGTTGTCACATGGTCTTTATACAAAGCACTTGTACGACCGAATTTTAAGCTAATTATTGACATTGCATAAATATTATAAATATTTTACTTAAAAATTTTAAAAATATGTGAAAATATGCATTTAGAAAGATAATTTCTTAAATATTTTATATACTTGAAATTAAATTTAACTGTATATTCAAATAAAATATAATATAATAAATAGATATACTTATAAAAAAATAAATTTTTTTGTTAATTCAAAATAATTATTTCTAAAAAACTTTATATTCTTCAATAATAAAATTTACATACAGTGTGTTGCAAAACTTTTTTAAATTTTTTTTAAATTTTTTAATATTTTAATTAATAGTAAATTAAAAAATAAAAAACTTTTTTATAAAAAAGATATAATATTATTGTTATTATTAACCAATTTTTAGATTTATTTTATTTAAATTTACAAAGTTATA